GTCCCCGACGTCTCAGCAGCAGGTCCGCCCGCCTGGCCCCGACTCCACCCCGAGGACCCCCGGGGGCTCCAGGCCCCTCAAGGCCCCGGTGCCGGAGGGTCCCGCCCAGCCGCCCTGTAACGTGCCCAGCGGGAGGGACAGGTGGGCGCAGGGGGAGGCTGGCGGACAGGCTCCTAGAAGGGGTGGGGTGGGTGCAGCCAAACTGCAGGCAGCTTGAACGGCTGGCACGTCCCTAGGGTGGACAGGAAAACTCAGGGCAGGGGCAGCCCCCTCTTTGACCTGAAGGCCTGGGCATCCTGAGGTGGTGCATTTGGGGCCTCGAGACCCCAGGCTGTGCTGGGACCCAGCTCCCCTGCACCCCTGCACACAGTGCTGGCCCAGGCCGGGCTGGCTGTGCCCTGAGGTGGACCTGGACTCAGGCCGCTTGAGAGCTGACCCGCCTGTGGTCCTTCCACCTGAGTACCCCCCCGGGGCTGCTGTGAGGGGGCTTCTGGTGGCTGCAGTCCTTTCTCCTGGCCAAGGCCAGACAGGCTCATCATGGACGCTTGTTGCTTGTTCAGATGCGGGAAGCGGATCTCGGTGAGCTGTGAGCGCCTGCGGGCCCTCCTGCCCTGGTTCGATGGCCGATGGGAGGACATGGCCTCGGTCCTGGAGATGTCAGTGCAGTTCCTCCAGATTGCGGGCACCATGGTGCCCAGTGGGGAACAGCAGACCGTGAGTGTGTGCGGGCCCGGTCAGCGAGCTCCGGGCAGCTCCGACCGCTCCCTCCCATCTGCACAACCACTTCTCCATTCATGCAAATACCAGTCATCGCACCTCCTGGGGAGCGACACTGTGTCCTCTGTCTCCAGCCCTGTGTCTTCACCCACTGTGCCAGAGTGGGGTAAAAGTCCCATTGCTAGGAGGCCCCTGGCGGTCACAGCCTTCACCCTCCCAGCCCCCGGCCAGAAGACCCGGGTCTGAGCTCAGAGTGGTCTCCGGGACCCCAGGCGTGGCAGCTAGGGGCCAACCACAGCCCACAATTCCTATGGGTCTCCTGGCGACCGTGTCCAATTTTTGTATTTCTTTCCATTTTAGGCCGTCACCCCCTCCGAGGAGGGGTGGCACAAGTGGCCGAAGGACGTTTTGCAGCTGCCCCTGACGAGTGAAACCCCAGCAGGTGCACCAGACCCCGGGACAGGAGCATCTGTGACCATGTTAGTGTCCTGGCCAAGCTGGGGACTCACAGGGGCTACGGTTGCAAACAGTTCAGAATCTCTTTCTGCTTTTGCACCATCCAGGCAGCCGGACCCCCGAACTGTGCGACCACAGGTGTGAACCAGGGTGAGGCCCCCATGGGGGTGGCCAAGGTGCTGGACAGGCCAGTCGCCCTCCCTGGTGAGTGTGACTGGGTACAAGCATGGTCCCCAGTTCCCCAGGAAGTGTGGGAACACAGACTCACTCTCTCCCCTCACCCCTGTGGCCACTGCTGTGGCAGCTGCTGTGTCTGGCTCCCCGAGAGCAGCCCCCACTCTGCAGGTCCCCCTGTGCCAGTTCCTAGTGAGGCTGGCCTTTCTGTTTTGTATTGGGGTGAGTCATGGACCCCAGGCTGTTCCCTTCTCCACCTGGGGACCTTTGTTCCCTGATGCCACCCCCAGACAAGCCCACAAGGTGCCCCTGATGCCTGCGTCCCCCTCACACTGGACCCCTGCTCAGCTGTTTGTCACTCTGGATCACTCTTTGTGGCGACAGCATTTAAGCTGCCTGCATGTGTTTGCCATGTGTCATTGTCCCCAAGTGCCATGGGAGGCAAGATTGTGCTTTCCCACTCCCCAAGTGTGCCCACTGAGGAGGAGCTGGGTCTTGCTGTGGACAAAGCAGGGCTGTTGACAGACCGGGGCCACCAGGAAACTCAGGACCCACACACAGGACCCGCGGGTGCAGAGGCCACACTGCAGTGCGCTGGTCTGAGGGTGGTGCCCGAGGTCAGGGCTGACAGGCGCTTGGAGGGAGGAGGCACGCAGCAGCAGAGGACCCCCAGGTCTGAGCCCCAATGGTTGACCGGAGGCCAAGTGGGCACCGCCTTCCGGAAGCCTCCCTGGCCCCAGGTGTCAGGCGCCTCGCCTCTGGGCAGTCACCTTCTCCTGGTTGCTTGTCTGCCTCTGCGTCCGTGTGTCCTGACCCATGACCGGTGCAGGGCTCAGTGGGCAGGGGCTGAGGTCATCGGGGGGGGCCCCTCCTCAGGTGGGAAGGCTGACCCACACCTCGCTTCTCTCATAGGGCCTTCTAATCTGGCTGCCTGGACCCCAGGCCTGAGTCCCTCCCAGGTCCTGAGGCCGCCCCTAGCCTGGCCTCCCTGCTCTTGGCAGCCAGCCTCCCCTCTGGTGAGCGAAGAGACTCAGAGCTGCCTGGGCCACACGGGCCCCTGACTGAGGAGACAGGCCAGGCGGTGACATGGGGCACCAGGTGGGCCGGCCCTCGGCGGGCGTGTGCATGTACGTGCCTGCCAAGTGTGCACCTTCCAGCCCTTCCTCCCCAGGAAAGGTTCTGTGCCTCCCTCCCTCCTTCCTCCCTGTGTCTGCACCACCCAGGCCCAGATCGACCAAGCCCGGCCCTGTGGCTTTCTAATGTGTGTTTTTGAAAACACTTTTTGTTTTGCTAATTTTCCTGTTTTGGCTGATGGTAAATGAGTTGGTGCTTGGTGAGCACCAGCTGGGGCGTGGGACGGGAGCTGGTGGAGGCCCCACAGG